TAATTCTTCTTTGGTATTCTGTCATTACAGTTGCAGAAGAGTACAGGTGCAAATTTGTGACACTTTTCTTTTTTGTCTCATGGGAGAGCTGTCCCCTGACACACACAGAGAAGTGGCTAAGCAAACAGAATTGCGTTTGTGTGCTGCAATGATGCAGGGATTTAAAAGCTTAGCTCCGGAATTCTCTGTTTGGTATTCAACTGTTATGTGGGGACAGCATCGGTACTCTTTGTGTTTTTGGTAAAATTATTGGGTGATGAACAAGTGAAACGCTTGAGAGAAGAAACAAAAGAAAAGCCTTTGTAGGTGGAGGAAATGTCTGCAAAGATTTGCATTGACTTTCAGCAGAGACACTTACTGTAACAATAAAATAAAATAAAGTCACCCAGTGCATAAAGAGCATGAGCATCATTTGATTAATTAATTACATAAGGAATCATGTTTCTCCAGTAGCAATTTGTTCATTTTAAATGAGTGTGCCCTTTCAGCTCGTACAGACGGGAACATCATGGTTGCTAGGAACAACCACATATACAGCTGAGGGTCACAAAAGGTGAGGAGAGTTCAATTATGTTTAAAAGCAGAGAGTGCAAAGACGGTCTGAAAGCAGCAGCCGGCTGCAGTGTTTGCTGTGGACCTGACAAATGTCTTGTTCCCAGCCAAGTCGACCTCCGCCTTAAGGTTTTCTTCTTTCTTGGACTAAAACATTTCAAGTTCTTTGCTTCTACTGGCATAGAAATGTTCAGAGAGAATCCAGAAATTATTTTAAAATGTCCTATTTTTAATGCACTCCAAAATTTTTCCCTAATAAAAATTTTTTTTTGTTATATTTTGTCTCTTCACAACATCAAACTATTTTGTTTTACTAGAAAAGGCTTCTTTATCTTTTTGTTCTTCATTTTGTGTTCTAATTTTACATTTACATTAACTCTGTTTAGTAATCTGGTGACACTGAAAGACTTTTGGTTGCACTGGATTTTATCAATAGTCGTCAGAGTAAAGCAGGGCTAAATGAAAACCCAAATGCCACAATTTATTTTGTTTGGTAAATATTTTGATAAAAATTGTACCCTTTTTCTTCCACATCACACTCCGTCTTAGTTTGTGTTTTATTAATCCAAACAATATATATATATAAATATATATATATATATATATATATATATATATATATATATATATATATATATATATATATATATATATATATATATATATATATTAGGGATGGGACGATTTATGAAAACCGTCCGAACCGTTCGGTTCGACTGTCTCGGTTCGGTTCGCGTGTGTTGCGTTCGGTTCATGCGCTGCTCCTTTTTCTCATAGGTGAAGCGTTTACACTCCAGAGCAGAAGGTGGCGGTACTGCGACCAAAGCCAACCATCAGTAGTAAACAAGAAGAAGAAGAAGCGAAGTAGCGTAGCCGGATGTAGCAGAAAAAAATCGGTTGTTGTGGAGAATTGTGTCGGTATGGCGAGTGGGAAAGAACAGGAGTTGGAAGACACGCCAGCAGCACTTTATAGGTCTGCTGTATGGGACCGCTTTGCATTTAGATTGACCTACGATGACGGCTGAAGAAAGTTGTGGATAAAAGTGCAACAGTGTGCAAGCATTGTGCAACACGTTTTGTTTATGCTAACAGCAACATGACCAACATGTCATGCTAACCCCGAAATCCCTCATACTCCATCAGCGCTCCGGTCCGCTTCGCCCCGCTGCGCTCCAGACCGGCTGCTCAAAGCAAAGCCTACAGCCTCCACTGTGGCTCCCGTCCGCTCCCCTCTGAGGTCCTTGGAGATGGTGGAGAGCATGTGCCAGATGATTAAATACAAAGCAGCAAAACATGCGGAAATGATCCAGGGTTTCCGCGGATCATTTAATTCAATAATTACAATCCATTATTTTTTGGGGGATTTTTTTCCTTAATTTCATAAATCTTTATGGGATTTCGGTGTAATGATCAACATATATCGAACCGAACCGAAAACCATGACCACGAAACCGAAACCATTCCACCCCTAATATATATATATATATATATATATATATATATATATATATATATATATATATATATATATATATATATATATATATATATATATATATATATATACTTTTGTCCTTGGTTTTTATTCAGATTCTCTGTTAAGTTGAATCATGATGCAATAAAACTGTGTTTCTTCAGCATTGTTCCTCTTCATTTGTTCCATCCCTGAGCTCTGCCATCCTGTTTTACTCTGACACACAATTTGCCTGAGTTTGTTCACTCATGTCTGCGGTTAATCCTTTTCGAGGTCAACGTCGTATTTCAAAGCAGCAGTGTTCCTCCAAGTTCATTTCTGGCTGCCCGTCCTCAACATGTTTGAAAAGTATGTATCTACACAGTTTTGATGGCTGTAAACACAGACCTGGAGGGAGTTGGCACTTTCTTTTTGGCACTAATCTGTTTTTGGCTTCCACAGCAACTGCAGAGCCCACCTTAAACGTATGCTTTTTCTGTATTTACAGCAAATTACTGCATGTGTGTTGTTGTCTCTCTCTAAGTAGAGCAGAGTACGAGGGGTGTCATTTTCTCATAAGCATAATGACACATTGAGAGTCTGGAATCAGTTCATTGCAGTATGGTACCAAGCAATTAGTACAGAAACCCCAAACTTGTTAGTCAGACTGTCATCATCAAAGCCAGCGCTTAATGTCAGCAGTATAGTCAAACATGCATCCAGGCTTTCTGCAAGCTCCTACTGTATTGTCTTCAACATGTTTAAGATTATCACTAATTTTAGACATCGCTTGAGTAAATGTATGACAGAATTATCGGTACCTGTAACAGTGCCAATAAAATAAATGTAGAGGATTGTTTATGTTTGCTTCATTGTACGGATAGGAGATTTCTGGGTTTTTTTGGGGAAAAATACCCAATGACACGACAGATGCTAGGATGGACTGTGTCCCGTATGGGAACATGCGCCACAAGTGGAACACAAGGGGTTACCTGAAGTAACACAGCACATTCATCTAAGGATTCTACATTAGTTAGCACAGACAGATGAGTTGCTAATGACAGTATCTTCACTTTGCATTAATTAGTGATTGGCTAGAAATCCCTGACCAGCAGTGGTGTCAAAAGTTCACACATTTGTTACTTAATTAGAAGTATAGATACTGCAGTTTAAAAAACACTCTGGTAAAAGTTGAAGTATCAACTTGACCTCTTTACTCAAGTAAAAGTGAAAAAGTATGTGCTCCAAAATCTACTTAAAGTATAAAAGTATAAAGTAACCTTTAAAAAAACAGCCAGATGCCACTATATCAATTGAAAGCTTAATTTTACAACTATTTCTAAAAATCCTTTGAGATAGGGCCAAGGATGAGGGAGGTCTTGTTGGTCTCCATCTCCCGATACGCTCTCACCTGTGTCCTAACTTTCAGACATTTCAACATCTTTTTCTGAATCCCACATTGTAGCATGGGATAGACAATTCACATTAGCAGTTTGAAGAACACCTGCTTGCTTCTGATGATTTCCTTTAGCTAACCAATGAGTGTTTGCATTATAGGACTCATCCAATCACACTAGTTTTCACTAAATATAGATGGAGCCAATGATCTGCATTGGATGGAGTACATGACGTGAAATAAATATTTATAAACATTAAACCGAAGCCCAGAGTAACGATTAACATCTGTTTTAAAAATGTAAGGAATAGAAAGTACAGATACTTGTGTGAAAATGTGATGAGTAGAAGTCAGAAGTAGAATTTGTACTTCTAAATATTTTGTGTGAAAATTTAATGAGTAGAAGTTAGAAGTAGGAAGAAAATGAGGTAATGGAGTAAAGTATAAATACCTAAAAAGTGTACTTAAATACAGTAACAAAGTATTTCTGCTTCGTTTCTTGACACCTCTGCTGTCCAGGTTTTAGTTGCTTCTCTAACCAGTCAGAAGGATGTTGCTGGCTTTTTGGTCTTATTACATATAACAGCAAAGAGAGAAAATATAGCATCTGCAGGATGGGAATATAGAGGCATCCAAAGACAGAAATCCCAACAAGTTTTCAGGACATTGAGGTGTTTTGCAAAAGTGTTTTTATTTCTCATCACACCAAAAGGCTTCGATGAGCTGCTGGATTTGCCCTTCTTATGGTGTGGACATGACACGGAAATGTGTCTGATTGATCTGGAGAGCTTGATTCTGTGCGGGGTCTAGTTTAAAAAGCAACAACATGTACAGCTGTGTATGAGGCCTGCATTTTCACAAACCGGACATAGCTACCAGACATTTTGAACAATCTCAGGAACATTGAGCAGGACCTATTAGTATTTGGCTCTATATATCTGTGTAAGCAGATTTTCCATCATATGAAATGTGCTCAGCAGCTCTGTTAGACCTCTGTCCTCCCTTAAGTAAATCCAGAACTGGCAAATACCAATCAATGAGATGTCAGCAATAGGTATGTTTTTTTGTTAACATGCACATCATGTTATTTAAGTTTACTTTTTTCAATCATTTGTGCGAGAAGATACAATATGTATCTTCTGTTGTATGCTTCTTTTGCTATTTTGTTGGTCTCTTTATGGAAAAAAACATGTTTTTTGAAAAAAATGCAGCTTTTAGGGTTTCTGATATACAGGATTAAATGCATGTATTGTAATACAGTGAATAATTTAGCACATTGACTTCTGAGGAGATTTAAGATGGCACTGACATAAGACATAAGAAAGGTTGCCTAACCCTGATCTTATGCAATGGGGGAAATATTCCTCTCCCTACGGTTCATGAATACTATGGACTGCAAAATGTACTGTAACCAGATGAGATATGCTCAACTCAATTTGTTAATTTTTTCTTTTTTTGTGGTTATCCACCAACCAGTGATATTTTCATGCAGTGCGGCTTGTCCAAACAAGGTCTAACTCAGTCTGTTTGTGTGTCTGGTGTGTGGGTGTGTATGTGGGTTTGTGTATGTATGGCTGTGTGTTTTTCTTTCCCCGGCAGGGCCCTGTCCTCGGTTGTGGCTCTGGGTGCCAACATCATCTGCAACAAGATTCCAGGCCTGGCACCTCGCCAGCGAGGCATCTGCCAGACCCGGCCGGACGCCATCATAGTTGTGGGCGAAGGTGCCCAAATGGGCATCAATGAGTGTCAGTACCAGTTCCGATATGGACGCTGGAACTGTTCAGCGCTCGGAGAGAGAACGGTCTTTGGGCAGGAGCTTCGAGTAGGTCAGTCTGAGTTCTTTCACTGAAGAGAAAAGTAACTGTATGTATTTATGCCATTTTTATAGCTATCCCCATCTAAATATCTCTAGGGTTTACCATTTGGAGTTCTGAAGATATTTTTTATAGTGTGAAGTTATTTTAGAATACCTTGTTTATATCCTTATAACATTTAGATGTGAGGTCCATTTAGATCTGTGTAATCTAAAATGTTGTAATGTGTTACATTTGTCAAAAATAATTTTCATATTTTCTCTGTTTGATCACACATGATTTAGTACTCTTAAATGTAGTATATAATACATCAATTTAAAACTTATTTTTTTTTAGATGTGCTTTGAACATTTCCCTTGTTGGCTAACTTTGAATTGGCATTCTTTGTTGGTTTCTTTGAACAATAACTTTCTTCTTGCAATTCTTTCATAAAAAAAGAGATTTGTGAGCTTTACAACACCTAGCCATCCTGTTCACAGGGTGTCTACCACTCCAGTTACCTTAGTCTCTTGGCTGCTTCTCTGATTAATGCTTCCCCAAGTTTTTGGTTTAGGTGGACATCCATGTACTGGTAGATTCCAAGTTGTATGTTTTTACTTTCAGATGATGGCTTGAACAGAACCCTGTAAAATGCTTGGGACACGGTTTTATGATATAACTACTTTTGAAAAACTACTTTTAAAAGCTTTTCTCCACCCTCTCCTGTGTGTCTTGATCTTTCTGATGCTGCTTGTTTACTACAATTTGGTAATTGGGAGTGTAGTTTGCTATTGCAAAGTACACTGCAGTGGTGTCAGCTGTAAGACATTGACTTCCATTCTAGAGGTTGTTGGTTTGAGATGGCCTAGTGGTTAGGGCATAGAGCTTGGGATCCTGAGGTTCTGAGTTCTAGCCCCACCCCCACAGACACACACTTTGAGCAAAAGACCCACACTGCTCCCCGGGCGCCGCACAATGGCAGCCCACTGCTCCTCAAAGGGATGGGTTAAATGCAGGGAGTTCATTTTGTTTCTCTGTGACAGTGTAATGACAATAAAAGCTGAAAAAAAAATAATTAAGTAATTAGCTGTAAAACATAGAGAAAACACTGTTGCACTGGGTTTTATTTAAAGATTATAGAGTTAAGAGGATTAAATATTTTTTTAGGTTGAATTATTTTTAAAAAGATGTCATCAATGTTTTGGTCAAGTTTATGATCAACACATTTGTTAGGACACACCTATAGACAGCATATATCTGACGTCATCTAAAACGCTGGCATATGCTGAACTTTCTATGTATTTTTTTCAATCTTGGGTGTATACATAGAGTATTCATACCAAGTCCAGGACTTATGTCAAACTACAGCCTAACTTACGCATAACACACCGTAGAATAATTCCCATGAAATGCCATAAGCCGGTGTCCTGAGGGGGGCAGTGATGGCACCTGACCTGCATTAAAAGATTTTTTTGATCACGGTATTAACCTAGCTGCTTCTTAACGCCCGCTACAAAAAAGGAAAAGAAAGAAAGATGGTTTGCAGTTGAAGCAGATTGAGCGTCATGTCTGCTAGGAAGTTTGTTGGAATTGGGCATGAATGCAGCGAGGATCCATCACACTCACCATCTTGCTCACTGTTTCCTCCTGTGAACACCTGTTTTATATCAAAACTGTTCAATTTTGTCACTTTACAGTAGCTGTATGTTCGGTCGTCTGGAACACGTCAAATATTTTGCTAAACATTGGAGATTAGTTCTTGATAAGTTACGCATTAGTTATGCACAAGTTACTAAAAGGTTTTGGATAAGTTAGACACCACAACTTATGAGTAACTTACACTTAAGGTATGAGAACGATCAGATAACTTACCTGTAAATCATGCCCCACGTATGAGCATACGCTGGCATAGGTCGAGAAATTTTAAGCATCTCAAAATTTCTCAATATACTTGTATGCCAAGGTATGCCAGCGTGTTTCAGTGTGCTTCAGCGTACTTGAGCATGCTCATAACTTATACAAAACGTACCCATAACTAATCCAACGTATGCCCCAGTTTTTGCCAGATTTTTCGTACGTCAGGCATATGCTGGTCTAAATTGTTAAGGTGTGACAGGGGCTCTATATTACACAAGCTTTATGTAAATACTTGCTGTTTTTAGTTGTAATACATTGAGTTTGATTTAACAAGGCTGCGTACTGGGTGGACTGTTTTGGTTAACAATTTAATAAAAAAGCATCCTGGATTTGGCTTATTTCTGAAATGAGAAAATAATCTGCATAATGCATGCCATTATATTGTCTTGATTTTATAAAGAATCTAAAACATTTGGTAACAGCCCTGAACCTGCTGAACCCCATGACTTGTGTCTCAACACAAGCCAAAGCCAAGCTATGCCCTTCATGCAGGCTAAAATGCAAATCAGTAACACACAATCTGTTATGCAATTTTTCACCACCCAAGCTCGCAAGAGCTTAATTTACTGTCGATTTCTCTCCATCGGAGATGGCCTGAAGTTAGATGAGGTTGCTGCCTACGAGCATGATATGCCTTCTATCGATGGAGCTTGTGCTTCTGTTTGAGTTTGCAGCATTTAATCTTCAATGGTCGTGCAGGGCTCATGGAAAACCTTTGGAAAAAGTTGCGCTTCAGTGATAATCGGGAGGATCTATGTTTTAAAAAATGATATCTCAAATAGGAAGACAACTAATGGTGTTATTCTAGCCAAGCCATGTTGGACAGAATAGTTGGATACATCTGTTGTTAATTAGGTTAAATTGGTTGTGTCCATGCCTGGCTTCTTTGTGGGTGAAAGTGTGTAACATACAGGACAAATACTTAAAGCTGGCAAATTATCTTCATTACCTTATATTGTTCTGAGTCATATAATCTCTTGAAGTAAACTTGTTTTGAGAACCCCCTTGTTCAGCACTCTTAGTGCTGTTAAGAATTTACAAAAGCATTCTTTTGGGTAGGCTCTGCTGCTCATCTTAGCAGGTCTTAGTTGATCAGATGATATGTAAGACCTTTTGAAATGAAAGATTTACCCTGTGCCCTGAGATGAACTGGTGACCTGTCCAGGGTGTACCCTACCTCTCGCCCGTAGACAGCTGGAGATGGGCACCGGCACCCCTCGCGACCCCGCTTTGGATAAGCATGATGGAAAATGGATGGGTGGATGAATTTACCACGTCTCACCTTGACCTCCAACACCAGAGACATGTCACCAGATTTTTTTCTCACTGATGTTTTATCAGACAAAAGAGTGTCATTAGGATTAGGGCTCGGCAGCTCCTGCTTTAATTACAGCCATGTGCTCCATCTTAACCAATATTAGTGCATGATTGAACAGTTTAAGTCGGAGTGGTATAAATGTGGATTCTCATGCGTTTGTAAATGCATACTGCAAGACTCTGGCTTTTACTTTGATACATTGGGAAAGGATAATCTGATCCAATTCCAAAGTTAGTGTCGGATCCATTTCATTGCGAATATGAATATGTGAGAATTCTTCTACTTTCTAGATTCACATTTTTGGTGTTAGAAAATGTTAAATAACTGGGAATCGGAGTCATTCTCCTTTCTGAATAATGTAGTAGCTGGATATACCTCAGATGTTTAGGCTTGCTAAATATAATTAAAACAGATAAATGTTGCACCTTTGGGGCATCTGAAAAAGGTACCTAGAGTATGGATATACCCAAACCTGTGGAGGTCTAAAATTCTGTTTATCCCTTTCATTATTTTGACTGTTTTTTTCCCCTCGATGTCACGCAGTGAAACTGTTTTTTCTGAGCTGCTATGCTAAAATGTGTGGACTAATGGGCCTGGTTTAGACTCAAATCCTTGGGCAAGACACTTCACCTACATTGTCTACTGATGGTGGTCAGAGGGCCCGGTGGCGCCAGTGTACGGCAGCCCCGCTTCTGTCAGTGAGCCCCAGGGCAGCTGTGGCTACAACGTAGCTTGCCACTATCAGTGTGTGAGTGTGTGCGTGAATGGGTGAATGAATGTAGTGTAAAGCGCTTTGGTCAAGTCTAACTTGAATAAAGGTGCTATATAAGTACATGCCATTTACCATTTACCATTTAAATGTTGTATCAGAATCTCAAAATATAAGATATATATTTTTTATGAGTAAGGTTTTATCCACACTTTTCATAATTTACCAATATGCATGAATTACGTCGCTGACACAGTTTTAAAAAAAGCAAATAATTCCCATACCAATCTAACACTAACGTGTTTGCCATATTGTTGTTTTTATGAATGAGTGTTCTATGTTTGGCATAGTGACTTGTTCAAATATGGGCTCCTCGCTGAGTCAGCACCATATTGTTTCCATCTGCACTTTTTGACTGTTGAAAGGACTGAGTTAAGGAGTAACCAGAGTAAATGCATGTCAGACTTTTTTATAGGTTCACATAATTTTCTTCCACTTTACAGTTATGCGCTACTTGTTTTAGTTATTGAAAGCTCTCCCGCAAATACCTGCATCAAGTTTGTGCGGAAAAGATTTAGTACACAGGTAGCATGGCAAATGATATTTTCTATACAGTCTCTTATCAAAATGTTTGTCTATAAATCTGGAATAGCAGTTCCTCAGGCATAACTGCCTGATGTATTTAAATTCAGAAGATATTAATATCTGCCTAATAATTCAATTCAGTTTATTTATATAGCGCCAATTCACAACACATGTCATCTCAAGGCGCTTTACAATTAAACCAGATCATACAGTCAGTATGATCTGGTTGAACCAGACCAGGCTTTTTCATTTTGTCTCAAATGTTTCTTCATTTCCTCAGCATGTAACCAAAACCCCGTGTTTGATTAGGATTTAGAGAAAAAAATCGGAACTGTGAGGCATACATTGTTTTCTACTTTTATACAGGTCTCAATAATTTTTACAGCCAAATTTTAATGTATTTATAAATGCTCTTTTGGGTCTTTTGGGATATATCTCTACCAGCTGTGCATTAGCTGTAAGATAAAACAAAACACTGTCTCTTTTGGTGAACAGTAGGCCCAT